GCTCCAGCCAGTGACTCCGAACCTGACTACAACTCATGTTACTGCAGCATTTGTTATTCCAGTCCGCGTGCCAGCAAAAGTGAACCTCATGGCTATAGCTTTTCTATCTTTTCCCCTATAGACATTTGATTACGCACAAGTAGGTGATCAGCTCAGGTTTACGCAGAGCAGAAAGAAGGAGAGCGCTCTGGCCGCACAGGTTAAACGTTCCTACTTTAAGAAAACCGTTAAATTGCATTTTTTATGTGCTACCTGGGAACTCTAAATATTTATTTAAAATTAAATCAAAAGAAAGTGTAATGATGTCGAAAGTTTATTAATTACTATTTGAAAAATGAAAGTGATTGGGAAAAAGGTCGATCATATTTTCAATCAAGTCTGTTTAGCTTGACGTCTGATATTATATATATATATATATATATATATATCCATGCCCTGATGTGGGGGCTGGGGGATGCGTCGACATGGTCGGGACATAGAAGGGGGTGCGCGGCTAAATAAGTTTTGGAACCACTGCTCTATATTCTTTTTTATTTATTTATTTTTTCTGAGTTTTACCTGTAGTTCACTCAATGCTCACTTGTAAATGATAATCCAAGATACACAGTAGTGACTCATTCCTGACCTTGAGTTGGCAATTCTCATCATGTTCAGGAGAATTGGACCCACTGATCCAAGTAAATAAAATGTTTTATTTATTGCAGGAAGGTGGACCTTGGCTTAACTGATGTAATTTAATAGCAAACATGATGTAACCGCTTGGCTTTAAAGACTTGAGGTTACGCAAAACACTTGACCTGATTAAACACAGGCTGCTTGATTTGACTTGACTTGGTTTGAATGACTTGATTTGACAACATATGGCTTATTTCAACTGACTAGACTTGGCTTGACTTGACTGGAGCAGGCCTTGTCTGCTCCATGAGAAGGCTGTAGATCTGGCATGTGCATGTTCAGCCTGGGGACCATTTTTAGGCCTTGGAATGATTTTGTGTGGCTCCTAATTGAATTTGTAGATTTATGAATTTTGCACCTCAAGCTGGTTGTTCACCTTCTAACATTTTCTATGTTCACATATTTATTTCCAAGTCTATTCTGGCACAATCTTGAGGAGTATAAATGAAAAATACCAAAGTAAATACATTTTTGATAAAGTAGCATTTTTGTGGCCCACAAGGATGTTGACATGGTGATTTTGGCAGTCATCTTGAAAAGTCTTGATGCCCTTGTTGTAGATGAAAACGCCCCAGAGCTGTTGCTGCAGGGTGCTTGAGTCATCTGGAACACAGGTCGAAATAAATAAATAGTGCCACGTTAGCATGATTTGGTCATTAGGTGAGTGTAGAGAGAACATTAGAACCAAGCCCCCACAATGCGGGTGAAAAATTGAGGCCAATGCTGAGGTACCAAAAATTGTAGTTCCACCCTCATCCGCTGGGGGCTGGTGTCAGAAGCGAGCAAATCCTAATTGACTCCCATGTTAAAAATACCAATTTCACAACAGAAATACACATGTTTACAGCCTGGTACCAAAACATGTTTTTTGTTTAAATGATCTAGTGGTTCACAAACTTAGGGTCCCCCTTCTGTGTCCCGACCATGTCGACGCACCACCAGCCCCCACAACAGGGCATGGCTATATATATATATATATATATATATATATATATAGATAGATAGATATAGATATATAGATATATATATATATAGATAGATATAGATATATAGATATAGATATATAGGTATATATATAGATATATATATATAGATATATAGGTATATATATAGATATATATATAGATATATATATATCTACAGGTGCTGGCCAGTAAATTAGAATATCATCAAAAGGTTGAAAATATTTCAGTAATTCCATTCAAAACGTGAAACTTGTACATTATATTCATGCAATGCACACAGACCAATGTATTTCCGATGTTTATTACGTTTAATTTTGATATTTATAGGTGACAACCAATGAAAACATCAAATCTGGTATCTCAGACAATTAGAATATTCTAAAGGCCAATGAAAAAATGTTTGTTTCTCTAATGTTGGCCAACTGAAAAGAATGAACATGAAAAGAATGTGCATGTATAGCACTCAATACTTAGTCGGGGCTCCTTTTGCCTCAATAACTGCAGTAATGCGGCGTGGCATGGACTCGATCAGTCTGTGGCACTGCTCAGGTGTTATGAGAGCCCAGGTTGCTCTGATAGTCGTCTTCAGCTCCTCTGCATTGTTGGGTCTAGCGTATTGCATCCTCCGCTTCACAATACCCCATAGATTTTCTATGGGGTTAAGGTCAGGCGAGTTTGCTGGCCAATCAAGGACAGGGATACCATGGTCCTTGAACCAGGTGCTGGTGGTTTTGGCACTGTGTGCAGGTGCCAAGTCCTGTTGAAAGGTGAAGTCTGCATCCCCATAAAGTTGGTCAGCAGCAGGAAGCATGAAGTGCTCTAAAACTTCCTGGTAGACGGCTGCATTGACCCTGGAGCTCAGGAAACAGAGTGGGCCAACACCGGCAGATGACATGGCACCCCACACCATCACTGACGGTGGAAACTTTACACTGGACCTCATGCAACGTGGATTCTGTGCTTCTCCGCTCTTCCTCCAGACTCTGGGTCCTTGATTTCCAAAGGAAATGCAGAACTTGCTTTCATCAGAAAACATAACTTTGGACCACTCAGCATCAGTCCAGTCCTTTTTGTCCTTGGCACAGGCGAGACGCTTCTTGCGCTGTTTCTTGTTCAAGAGTGGCTTGACACACGGAATGCGACACCTGAATCCCATGTCTTTCATGAGTCTCCTCGTGGTGGTTCTTGAAGCGCTGACTCCAGCTGCAGTCCACTCTTTGTGGATCTCCCCCACATTTTTGAATGGGTTTGTCGTCACAATTCTCTGCAGGGTGCGGTTATCCCTAGAGCTTGTACACTTTTTTCTACCACATTTTTTCCGTCCCTTCGCCTGTCTGTTAATGTGCTTGGACACAGAGCTCTGCGAACAGCCAGCTTCTTTAGCAATCACCTTTTGTGTCTTGCCCTCCTTGTGCAAGGTGTCAATGATTGTCTTTTGGACAGCTGTTAAGTCAGAAGTCTTCTCCATGATTGTGGTGCCTTCAAAACAAGACTGAGGGACCTTTTAAAGGCCTTTGCAGGTGTTTTGAGTAAATCAGCTGATTAGAGTGGCAGCAGGTGTCTTCTATATTCAGCCTTTTCAGAATATTCTAATTTTTTGAGATACCAAATTTGGAGTTTTCATTAGTTGTCACTTATGAATATCAAATTTAAATGTAATGAACATTGGAAATACATTGGTCTGTGTGCATTGCATGAATATAATGTACAAGTTTCACGTTTTGAATGGAATTACTGAAATATTTTCAACCTTTTGATGATATTCTATTTTACTGGCCAGCACCTGTATATATCTATAGATATATGTATATGGCGGTATGTCAAAATGGCGGTTGCGGCCACCTCCCATTTCTCCTCAAAAACGTGTTATTGGAGCCTATGGAAATGAATTGTCCAGTATATATGTTGATGATTAGAACAGATCAGGGGCCACCTTTGTTGAAGATCTTGACCACAAACCTGGAAGTGTTGATCTCCATCCCATTTTGTCCCATAAAGTCATGATTACACATGTACAGCACCATTAGACACTCATCTATACAGGTTATCAGCAAAAAAAAAGTTAATTTAGGTGTTACTTGCTATTCAAGGCTCCCACACATGGCCAACAGAACCACTCATCTCCAAAAAGCAGTAATGCAATCTGAAACCTCCCCAGACAGAGACTGTGGGAGTGTTTTCCTTTCCTAAACATACTAATTAACAGCAATTACAGCATCCGTGTCATGAATTCTTGATCATCTTTGGTATTCTTCAAAGAGCTTTTGGATGAGCTACATTCAGTGATCCGTCACAGTTCTCAAAAACATCTCACGTTTTCCTTAAGTATGTTGTTGTTTGTGACTGAGCTCCCTGGGGAGGTGTAGAAAAATCTAACATCTAATGACAGGCTTTTAAGCAATCTTTTTGAACATTTAAACTCCTTTAGCATTTGAAAAGTCAACTTAATCCAATGTAGAAGATCCATGACTAAACTAAAACCCATCAAAGTTAGAAATAAAAACATCTTGAGGTGTTTGTTAATATTTTAAAGGTGGAGCTAATTTGAAGACTTATGTGGTCTGATTAGATTAAATATCAAACTGTTAGGCCTCTATTGTTCAAACTAATGAAAAGACCAATAAGATCAGAATAAAAGCCTCTGGAAGAGTTTGGAGAAATGATCACCGTTAGTGATGAATGTCACCTCCTGGAAGCCATCATGGCATCATTCTAACCTTGTATCTCCCCAGTTGGTGTCAGCTGTCCCTGGTGGTTCGAACAGTAGTATGTCTGAGGTAAACCTAGGGTCAGGTTGCTGTGAGAGTTTCTAGGTTACAGTCCCATTGATCCACCTCCACATCCTGTTTACCATGGGGACAGATTTCGTTGTGCTTCCATCTCAGTACCCTGTGTGCCAAGGCAATTGACCGTTTAGTGGTTCGTGACCCTCATTCATCAACAAAATCATCATTTCGTGTTGCATTTTAGTTGATGCAATGGTTTATTAACAAAGTGAACTTTAATTTTAATTCAGTTAAGTTTATTTGGGATCTCAGGGCACTTGGAGCATCTGTAAAAATGAAGTTGATGCAGTAAAAAAAAGAAAGGATGACCAAAGTTGTGAAAGAAAGGACCAGCAAGGGGAGGAATGGTTTCATTGGTATTCCGTTCAGAAAAAGGGGCTGTCAGTGTTAAAGGACAGAGCCCTAAATGGTTTAGAGTGAATGGGTGAACTTCTTGGTGAAGAGCGTCAGCCCTCTAAATCTCTAAGATGTTTGAGTAATCATGTGACAGGGCTTCTTCTCTTCTTTTTATTTGTGTCACAATTGCTGTTTATCCCCCCCCCCCCCCCCCCCCCCCCCCCCCTTCTACCCCCAGGGAAGCTGGAGCAGAAAACTGGGGCACAGAAGGCTGCCAAACGCTCGCGTCAAACACTGTCCACACCAAATGCCTGTGCAGCAGGATATCCACATACGCCGTGTTAGCGCAGCAAGCTAAAGACCCGGTAAGTCACCTGTGCATGGCCTGATGCTTTCTGATGGATCTTGGGGGGAAGGGGCCCCCACATCCAGGAGCTAGAACAATTGTCAGAACTGGTTGAACTGGTTTTCCTCAGGTTTTCTTCTGTTTTGTCAACCATTACTTTTCATGGGGAGACCAAGTGGTTGGCTCAGTCTGAGAGCTTTTTTTCCACACTTCTTGTCTTGCAAAAAAATGGGTGCACTGAACAGTGCCGTCAATTTTGAGATTTGACACAGTCCCACATCTGATGCTAATTTGATCATAATGCCTTTGCTTGTCCAGTTATACTTTGATGCTGTCACTCTGCACGTTATGAGACTTGTTGTTTTTGGTTGTTTTTAGCGTAAACTTGATAAAGGTCAGGCTGCTTGGCGAGTAATTCCTGTGTGATGAGAGGGAAAAGAGGCATCAAGAGGTTTTTTTTTTGTCTGGGTGTGATTTTGGCCTGCAGCACATAACCTGTGCTTCTATAAATAGCTGCCGTGGCTTCCAGTGTGTTTGACATGATGAAAGAAGGCTTTGTAGCAGCTGGGGGTAATGCTTGTTCTTATCTTCTCTACAGTGCTGATGGTCAGCTTAGTTTCTCTTATGTTTGTTTTCCGTATACAACAAAAGCCATGACATCATCAGTTTCATTGGACTGATTTTACATCTATCATCATCTGTTGTTTATCTTTCATAAAACAACACTTCAGTTGTGTTGAAGTAATCTTACATTGATTCTCTTTCCTTCCTATTAGCACTTTGCTTTTGTTGATTCTGCATCCAATTTTAGTTCTCTTCTCACCTTTATCATTATTTTTATGTCTTTTTACCATTTTGGTCACTAAATTATTCATTTTCCTTCACAAGTTGCTGCTGTAGGAGATCAGGTTGCAACAGTGGAACATGTTTTTTTTCTTTCTTTTGTTGACTATTAAAAATAAGGTCAGCCAGAGATACATGTGTCTAGTATGCGAAGAAGAGCAACCTGAGTGTCAGGGGCATTTAGGTTGAGGAGGTCTTCAGAAGGAGAGCAAACAAAGAGATGAGAGGTGGTTTGCATTGCCAGCCACATCTGCAGAGATAAAGAGCTGTGCATTTATGTGGACATCCATCCAACATGCACCTCCTCCTTGTGTGTGACCTTTTCTCAATAAAATACTGCTTCGACAGAGGACTTGCTGCTGATGCACATTGACTGTTTAATGTTTTGAAATACATCACCTCACCGTTTAGGAGACTGACCAACAACTTTACTGTTATCGGCCACAGCCGGCTGCTGTCTTCTAAATGAAAGCTTTAAATCCCTGTGAACTGATCATACGTTACCTCGACTCAAACGGGAGAGGTAGCTACTTGGCACTTCACCCACAGCAGCATCTATCAGATCAATTGTCACATATTACTCTGAGGAGTTGGAATGGACAAAAAAAAAAAAAAAGCTGAATCCAGGACTTAGCTGGCTGTTGTTCCAACTTAAAAAGTCATTACTGTTTTTGTTGAATGCATTCGGTGTCAGATAGGTTTCACACTTATGTAGAACCTTCGTGACTCTGTTTAACATCCTAAAAGGTACTTTCATATATTTTACTAAAGTGCTCCCAATGAAGCTGGTACTCTTGTAGTTTGTACCTCTGGTGGCAGCCCTGTAGTCTAGATTACAAGTACAAGGGACCATTTAAAAGGTAGCAACATTAGATTCTACACAAAAGTCTTTTATATGACAAACAGTGGCTGCTTCAGTGCATTTTAATGCATTTCACTCATAATGTGGGCGGCACAGGTATTAAGTGCTTGCTCTGTAATCGGAAGGTTGCAGGTTCGAGCCCCACTCAGTCTATCGCTGTTGTTGTGTCCTTGGGCAAGACAGTTAACCCAACTTGCCTGCTGGTGGTGGTCAGAGGGACCGGTGGCGCCAGTGCTCGGCAGCCTCGCCTCTATCAGTGCGCCCCATGGCAGCTGTGGCTACATCGTAGCTCATCCCCACCAGTGTGTGAATGGGTGGATGACTGATTGTGTTGTAAAGTGCCTTGAGGGGTTCCAGGACTCTAGAAGGCACTATATCAAATACAGGCCTTTTGCCATTTTACCATTTACTACAATGTACAGTTAATCTGACATGGATTTGAAACCATAATCTTCTATCCTCAAGGCAAACAACAATACCACTGAGCTAAGTAAGTTTAATTAAGAGGGGAACCCATTTTTCTGTCATTCTTTAATGAAAAAATTACTAAGTAGTTATTTTTCTTGGTAATTAGTTACTTTTACAATCTTGTAACTCTGTAAGTAACTGAGTTACTTTTTTGACAAAGTAATTAGTAACTATGACTAATTACTTTTTAAAATGAACCTTCCCAACACTGGTTAAAGGACACAGCTAAAACTGAAAAATAACCATATTTAGGTCAAATGTAGAGCTAGTGAGTAGAATAGTGTTCTAGCTAAAAGTGATCACTGGGACAGAATGCACTCAGTTTGGTAGCATGAGACCGTTCATTATTGTGTAAGGTCGCACTATACAGATGAAACGGGAAACATTGGAAGATCATGCAAAAGTTCATTTATTTCAGCAATTAAACTAAATGGTGCAACTAATATAAGGTTTGAGATGTTTTCAGTCTTTGTTTGCTCTAGTTTTGATTATAACTGTTCATGAAAATGCCAAGTTCAAATTCTCAATGAGAATTTTGCATAAAATTCATTAAACAAAGTAGAGAAACGACCGTCCTCTGAAAAAAGTACCTGTTACTTGGTTTGGGCCTCTTTTGCTTTTATGGAAAAGAATGAAAAGAATGCACCATATTGTAATATATGTTTGTTTTACGGGTAGCTTCATCACTTCTCCACAGAAGATTGTTTTAGTGTAAAATGAACGGCAGGGACAAATTTCATTTCTTCAAGACATGCTAAGCTTTTAACTGTTATCTCCATTGCCTTTTGCTCATACGGCACAGCTTTTCCCCACACGCGAACACTGATGATCACATCAAGGGCGTTGTGGGGCTCAGTGTATTCCCCAGGACACTTTCATGCGTGGACAGCATGTGGATGCAACTGTGGATCCAACCACGTTAACCTCCGAAACAAAGCTACAGCATCAGATTGTTGCATTACTGGAACATTCAAGGATACTTGGCAGGAGGATAAGAAAAAATAAAAACTTCAAGAAGTTGTGCGCATTCCTGATACTTAAAGCATTTAACTGCTTTGACATTGATGAAATATTACAGTCACAGTTTTCTTCACTTCTGTCTGCTGTGACCAAAAGGTTTGAATATAGACATTCATGTTTCCTCTACTTAACATTTGCCCTGGATTCAAGTAATTTAATTTATGAAGTAGAAGAAAAAAGTCAGCCAGTAGCCCAGAGGAACGTAATAACTCTAATTGATATCCTGAGGTCTAGCTGACCTGCCTATTTAATGGAAAACCATCTTCAAGAATTTATGTCCTTTTCAAGTGTACAAATCCTGAAGTCTCATGCTTTCCTCGCAACATCAATCAGGTCAAGTGGTTCATGTATTCTTTGGTTTTTGTAGAAAGGAGGAAGAAATAAATGTGAACTTGATGTTTCTTAGACGACATCCTAACGTCACTCTTTTAGCAGCAGGCGGGGGATTTGGGCGTATTTTAAATGCACAGTGAAGGCACTTGAACCGTAATACAGGCTTACAGAATATTTGGAAACAGAGCTGCATTCAACACCACACATTTGATACAACACTTTAATAAACAACCTTCTTCTTTCTCTCTTTACTTCTCTCTTCATTTTCCCTTCAAAAGTCACCAAAACGAATCGCCTGTCTCAACGTACTGTTGCTCTGATCTGCTACCTTAGAAACAAACACCCTGCTCAATACTCCATGCAGCAACTGGGATGGAAGCCGACACTGAAAGACATGTTAAAAAAAAACAAAGAGAAATGTCTACAGACAGAAAAAAAGGTCACAACCAAGGTAGCAGTATTCATCACACTGGTCTGTTGTTGCAAACGTAGTCTCCTGGAGCTGTGCTTTGACTTCCCTTCTCGTCACCGTGTTACACACACAGATTTTATAGATGCTGTGCAGAGAAAGGCGTGCATGCCGGCTGTCCAACACATTCTCACTCCCAGCGCGTCAAAAACAAACGCTTGGTCAGCCACCCTCCACGTCAGAGCCCTGACGCCAAAAGTGCCCTTTTTCGTTACTTATGTGCGAAAAGGGGTTTTTCCCTTATTTGACTGCAGATATCAATGCAGCGTTACACTGACGTGATGGGATGTCCGCAGCCAGGGCACCAAACAAACTCATTGTACCTCACCTTAACCTTATCCTCTTATTTAACCTTCCCCTCACCCCTATCCTAACCTTAACCATCTTGCTAGCAAACACGTTAGTGATGTGTCGATCGCTCTAAAAGCCGGCTCTATGAAGTGAACGGCGGGAGCCGCCTCGTCATTGGTCGGGTTTGGACCAAGCCAACGCGAGGGGGAGGTTTTAACTACCATGGTGGAGGTTAAAAGTAGAGGGTATGTGTAACCTCCCCCTCGCCAGATGGTATGTTCTAACGTTCCCCTTGGGCAGCAAATACAAAAATTGACAGTCAGACTCTGACTGTCAGAGTCAGAATGCACAGGAAACAAATGCTTGATCACAGTGAGAGTAACGTTTTAGGTAGCAAGTTGGTTAAGGTTAGGAAGAGGGAGATGGGAAGGTTATAAATAGTGAAACGTTAAGGTTTAGGTGCGGTTAAATGAGCTGGTTCTGTGCCGCATTTGAGGTTTAGTTTCGGTTAAACGAGCTGGTTCTGTGCCGCATCAGCAGATATCTCATCACGTCAGTTTTACGCTGCATTGGGATCTGCAGTTACAAAAGGGAAAAACCCCTTTTCGCACATAAGTAATGAAAAAGGGCACTTTTGGCGTCTGGGGTCTGACGTGGAGGGTGGCTGACCAAGCGTTTGTTTCCGACGCTTAGGGTGTGAGAATGTGTTGGGCTGTGACGTACCTGCCCTGTC